CGGCGGGCGAACCGACGGCGATTGCTCTCTTACTTCAAGACCTGGCCCAGCCAGAGATGGAATATAAGACCTCGCAACACCGTAAACCCTAAGCTCTAAGCCCTAAACTCGCAACACCGTCACAAGTCTTTTCGGCATTTCTCCTGCATCCAAAGCCACGAAGTTTCCAGTACCCACTAAGACGGTTCTTTTGGATCCTAGAACCCCTATCCCTGCACCCTAAACCCCAAACCCTAAACCCTGAACCTTAAACCCCTAAACCCTAAACCCCTAAACCCTAAACCCTAAACCCTAAACCCCTAAACCCTAAAACCTAAACCCTAAAAACCCGGAGCTTGAAGCCCTACAGTCGCAAACCCAAGTGACCCGACTGATGGTGCAAGTGGACCCCTTCGAAGAAATCCACCCAAGGTCGAGCTGCCTCCGGATTGGGTGGAGTTCGAAGATGACGACGGTCACTCGCTGCCTGATTTTGTTGTGTCGTCGTTGTCGTTTTAGGTGTTGCGTACATGTTCTTATACAACTACGTGTGTGTATATATATATATATAGACATACACCTGTTATATATATATATATATTCAGAGGCTGAGGAACCCGACGTCTGGGGCGCTTACAAGGTAGTCTTATTCAATTCCAAAGGTTTGACCTTGGGGGCCTAAATAATTACTTGTACTATTTTGGCGGTTCCTTAGTATAAGTATACTATCACGGGCCCCAAAACCCTATTCTAATTAGCAAGGCCCCTATATTACCCCGTCACCATCGGGAGGTAAGGCTCATAGGATCCGCGTTTGGTTGCTGTGTGAAGACTTGGGGATTTCAGGCCCCATTTCCGGGTTCGGGAACTACGTTGTTTAGGGTGCAGGCTGGCTGCAATGTAGGGGCTTGCATACTTATCAATACTATTTTGAGGTGGTTCCTTATCATCGTGTAGTATAGCGTACCCCAAGACCTTGTCTCATCGTCAGGTCTAAGCATGAGTTGCATCGCCTTGGTTTTGGAGACCCTAAACTCTGAACCCTTAGACCCTAAACCCTAAAATCTAATCCCTTAAACCCGTAACCCTAAGCCAGCACTGTCGTTTCATTTTTGAGGCAACCAGGCCTATTACCATGCGAAGACGAAGCGGCTGACGACCGAGCACCCAGTCATCTTCAAGTGCGCCGCCTTCTGTGTCTAATATAGGGCCTGAATGCATACCTACACTATTTTGGTGGTTCCTTAATTTTAGCAATAGTATAATATACCCCAAAACCCTAGTCTAATTATTGAGGCCCCTACACTACATCGAAGCATGTCGGTGACCCATGCCGGGGTTAGTATAGGGGCCTAAATGGTTACCAATACTTTTTCGGAGTGTTCCTTCTTATAAGTTGTAGGGTAACAGCGAGTTGTCTCAGCTTCTTCCTGTAGGCCTTCTGGAGTGCGATGAAGCGCCTTGCAATTGAAAGCGAGACAACTTCCCTCGCTGTCCTGATGCTTTGTCGATTTTCAATAGAGGCCACCTTGAGGGTAAATCACGCTTTGGGACTTAGGGTTTAGGACAACATGAGTTGGTTGCCTGATGTCTCTATCGCACAAGGCCTCCCAAAATCCAACTACCTACAGTCTCCATTGTAGCTCCTTTCTCTAATAGCCCCACAGCATCCTAACTCTGGAGTTGCTTAAACCAAACAAGGAACTACAATAGGGACTATAGAGGTCGATGGCTCAGGTATCTAAACCCTAAACCCTAAACCCTAAACCCTAAACCCTAAACCCTAAACCCTGAACCCAAACCCCTAAACCCTAAACTGTCCCAGTCCGGCTCCAAAGCTTGACTCGGAGGCGGAATCTTGGTCCTGCCTCCAGGGATGGTTACACGTTTACGAAGTACCCATAGGCCCCATGGTAGTTCCTTTTTGGAATTACCTAATAGGATCTTAAAAATAAGCCACCAAAAGGAACTACTATGGGGCCTATGGGTGGTTACACCGAGAAGCTCATTGGGGTTGAGACTGGGGGCCTGTTTAGGGTTTAGACAAGAACTGAGGCTTTTTGTATGTGAAGGGCTCCATGTCAGTATCTTGGCAACATTTTAACAGCAACTGTAATTGTAGCTACGACACAAATCCAAAACCCGCAACCCTAATCACTGTGGGATGCAGGTACAAGCAGTTTGTCGACAAGGCCGGCGGCTTTAGGAACTTTCTTAAAGGCAATTAAATACTTGGGGACGTCCTACGGAAACCCTAAATCCCAGTCTAGTCATTCCCCCTTTCTGCTAAACTAACGCTCCAGCAGTGAGTTGGCCCTGGCGCCAATAAACCCCAAAGCTATAACTAGTTCGAGACTTGAAGTCTTAAGCCATCAACCACCTAAAGCCTCGAGAGATAACCCTTATCGAATCCTTCATAGGGCCCGTTGCAGAACTCTTCTCACATTTCACTAAACCCTAAACCCTAAACCCTGCAAGTGAAATCACTTGTAGATGCC